TTAATTTTCTCTCCTGTAACTCAGTAACATCCCTAGGCCAAGTCAGCTCACGGTGATTTTCCATTCTGTGTTGGAAATGAACCACCAAATATTTTCTTATATTCTTCTTTGGCCTTCTTATTTTTAACTATTTCTAGGTTTATTTCCTTTTAATTATTCCAGTTTATCATATTTTGTCTCTAAAGAGCCTCAGAATATTCCTAATATTCCCCCTAAAAAGATCACATAAGGTTTAGCAAGACTTTCTTTTTCATTCCACTTGAATGTCATTAAATCTCAGATTTTCAAGCCAAAAGTAAGGGATAAATGAAAATAAAAATATGAGAAATTTTATTGAGTATGTACATACTCAATACTCTACAATACTCTACAATAAAGCAATTGAGTGTATTACCTCATGTTTTTCCATCAGCATCAGGTGGGAGCTGTTATTTACAGGGAAACCGAGTGAGGACCAGGAGGTTAAGTCACCAGCTTAGGGATTTAGAGAAAATAAATAGTGAAGAAACTTGAAGTAGATCTGGGAGTACTTAAAATTTACTTATACTTGGGAAACATGTAAAAATAAAACTGTAAGCTTAGTTAAATGCTTATAAATTGCTGTTTCTTGAAATAATGTTAAAGGATTATTAAAATTAATTATTTATTTTCATTGAAATTGTAAGTATAGGCTTTTAACTGCTGGGGTCCACGCAGTCGGTATGGATGACACAAAAATGAGAAGAGAAGAGCTTCCCTGTTGGCAAGGCCACGAGGAGCTTCCAGGTGCACGGCAGGGCTGGCAGATGTCTCTCCAACCACCCCGACACAGTCTCATCCCCTTTGTATGGACACTCAAGCAACCCGCTAAGAATTCTGTAATCCCTTGAGGCATTGTTGTTTGCCCTTGTGAGATGAGCTTTGCAACTCATGTGAGCGTGGGAGTAAAACTGCTGGTCATGTCTTGGTGAGTGGGCCTTTAACAATTTAAACACAGAAGTACAATTAAACCTCTGTCGTTTTTGGACACCTTATTGTGTGCCTAGCCATTGCCTCAGAATCTGGCCCAGATATGTAGCACACCTTCTGGGGAAGGGCTTGATAAGTATCCTAAATATTAGCGAAAGTGACGGGAGAATGAGCTGAAATTACTATGGCGATAAGCACAGTTATTGTGATTTTAAAGGCTAGCCTGTCCTTGCAATTCTTTGAAGCATAGAAAATTTATTCACTTTAGCTGCTTCTATAATTTTTGGCTAGAGGAATTCAAGAATACTTTTATAAATAGAGATGTTTTTAATTATTGTTTAATTACTTATGCACTAACCCACCAAATATGATTCCTGCAAGGTGAGAGGTTGCTGTGTGGAGGAGGGAGACTTGAGGGTTCACAAGTAGCGTGTTTCGAGGTGTCCGAGGAGGCATTTGGGTGCAAGCAATTGTGCTGTGAACTTCGTGGAACATGTTGTTGCAGGGTATAAACAACAGCACCCACGTGCTTGCCCTAAAACACTGCATCTCACCCTAACCCTAGAGGGCCAAGCTTCAGTCTCCCCATCAGAGGCCCGGTGCCCCACATCCCAGTGTGTTACCATAAGCTCGTGAGGGTTTCTCCAAGTTCAAGATGCCCCCGTGAGGACAGGGTGCAGTCCATAGCCATAGAGCTGCAGGCACCCCTCCGCCTAGAGAGGTGATGGAGAACATGACGTGGAAGGAAAGCTCAGCACACCTGAACACACAAAAATTAAAAAAAAAAAAAACCCAGCACCCAGGCAGGCTCCCTGGAAGCACAGTGGCGTGGCCTCGGGGAGGTGGAATTCTGTCCCAGATGTGGGTTAGTACATGTGCATTCCTGCCACCAGTTCCAGGTGGGAAAAACGGTGACAATGGCACAAGTGCTTGCATTTTTAAAAAGCAGAATCAAGACTAAAATCCTATTTAGAAAGTAGGAAAACAGCCAACACTGAGATGGTGGGATTTTATTTTTGCAGTATGAGTTTTACACACAGCTTTTATAAACTTTAAAATTACCTTGTGGATTTATTTGAAAGGCAGAGAGGAGAGAGGCCCCATAGCACAAATCCATTCCTCCAAGTGCTTCCAGGAGCAGGCTGGGTCAGGCGGAGGCAGGAGATGTAAGTCACTCGAGGCCTCTTGTGTGAGTGGCAGAGACCCAGCCACGGCCACCTGCTGCCTCCAGCGTGCAGCACCGCGGGAAGCTGCAGCTGGCAGGCAGGAGCAGGCAGTCAGCGGGGAGTACAGACAGCCTTCGTGGCACCACAGCACTCAGTCGAGCACCTGTCCCATCACAGGCAGCTATTTTTGTGGATTAAGGATCAGCACTGGTTTGGGAGAGAAGTTGACAGGGCGCGCCCCATTTCCTCACATGGACAAGTTGTGTCTCCTAATGGTTCCCCTCTAACCTCACAGAGGAACTGTCTTCTTAGCAGGAGCTGTACCATTACAAATGCCTTGGAACCCCGCTGATACATCGGGCACATTTACTGCTTATTACATCTTGCTCAACACACCTATAATGCAACCACTTTCTCTTCAATAAGGCAAATGCTCTGTAGAAGTCAACATACATGCATTGATCAGTTTGACATGGAGTCCTTGAGATGACCTAATGACTGTTTTAGAAAAACACTCGCTCTAGCTTTGAAAACTGAAAACATAATAAACTCCTGTGAAAATTTCCACAAAGCAAGATCTCTTCCTCCCTCTCTCAGACAGTGGCCAGAGCGTCTGATGAACTGGCTGTCTCCCTGGCCTAAAACGGATGGTGCTGTTGAGACAACAAGAGCCCATGTGGTCGCAGACAACGTAAAAATCAGCCACCGTCTCCTCCAGCTACATCCACCTGCGTGTCCAGGGCTGACACAGAGCTAACAGCTGGCTAGGCGACGTAAGGTGTCAGGCAATGATTTGAAGTGGAAGGAAGTGACTTGAGGTGGGAGGAGGTGACAAGGGGAGTAAGGAGTTGAGGCGAAGTGGAAGGAGGTTAAGTCATGCTTGAGGAGGGAGGAGGTTATGTGATGTGGCGCAGATGATGTGAAGAGGGAGCACGTGATGTGAGGAGGTGATGTGAGCTGAGGTGAGCTGAGGTGATGTGAGGTGGAGGAGGTGAAGTGAGGTTGGAAAAAGTGATGTGAGGTAGAGGTGATGAATGAGGAGATAGGAGATGATGTGAGGTGGAGGAGGTGATGTGAGGTGAGAGGAAGTGATGTAGGTGAGAGGAGATGATGTGAGGTGGGAGGAGGTGATGTAGGTGAGAGGAGATGATGTGAGGTGGGAGGAGGTGATGTGAGGTGAGAGGAGGTGATGTAGGTGAGAGGAGATGATGTGAGGTGGAGGAGGTGATGTGAGGTGAGAGGAGGTGATGTAGGTGAGAGATGATGTGAGGTGGAGGAGGTGATGTGAGGTGAGAGGAGGTGATGTAGGTGAGAGGAGATGATGTGAGGTGGAGGAGGTGATGTGAGGTGAGAGGAGGTGATGTAGGTGAGAGGAGATGATGTGAGGTGGGAGGAGGTGATGTGAGGTGAGAGGAGGTGATGTAGGTGAGAGGAGATGATGTGAGGTGGGAGGAGGTGATGTGAGGTGAGAGGAGGTGATGTAGGTGAGAGGAGATGATGTGAGGTGGGAGGAGGTGATGTGAGGTGAGAGGAGGTGATGTAGGTGAGAGGAGATGATGTGAGGTGGAGGAGGTGATGTAGGTGGGAGGAGGTGATGCGAGGTGGGAGGAGGTGATGTGAGGTGGAGGAGGTGATGTAGGTGGGAGGAGGTGATGCGAGGTGGGAGGAGGTGATGTGAGGTGGGAGGAGGTGACATGATAGGGAGGAGTGGATATGAGGTGAGAGGGGGCGATGTGAGGTGTCAGGAGGTGATGTAAGGAATGTGTCTCTGAGCAGCTGACTGGGGAAAGCCCGGCGTCCCAGGGCTGCGCGGGCGGTGGCAGCGGAAGGCTCGGCATCCGCAGGCGGTGAAGGCGAACCCACACACCTGCGTGGGCAGCGCTGCGCCAGGACTGCAGCCTGCGGCTCGGCGGCCTCCGCGCGAACACGGCTTGCAGCGCGCAGCTGGGGGAGCGGGGAGCGGGGAGCGGCCGCAGAAACGGACCTGAAACCTCCAACCCTCGCCGCGCAACCACTGCCACCGGTCCCGGGGGCCGTTCACCACAAACACACACACACCCCACGGGATGTTACATAACATTGTGTTCTGTAGAGGGAAAGCTAAATGAAACTACAAAAATGACGGAGCCGGGGCCCTCCCGACTCTCGACCTCCGTCCCGCGCGCAGACACCTGCGCGCTCCGGGCGCGGGAAGGGCCCGCCGACGTGCCCGGCCGGGCTTTCCGCTCGGGAGCCTTTTACCCGAGCCCGGGGGTCCCCACCCACCAGCCAGTGCCTGGCGCCTGCGCGGGGCCCTGGGCCGCGACCGTCCCGCCCGCGGCGGCTCACAAGGGGTTAAGCGGGGCCCGCCTCCAGGGCTGCGTCCGCCTCCCCAGCCGGTTCCGCTCGCGCCTCCCGCCGCAGGCTCCCCCGCAGTCCACGCCGCCAGCCCTCGGCTGCCTGGGCCTCCTGGGCTCGGCGCGTGGGGCCCCCGGCCGGGAGGCTCCGCCGATGGGGACGCCCCCCGGAGCCACGCCGCCGCCGCGGCTCTCGGCCGGGGCTCCCTAGACGGAGGCGCGCGGGAGGCCGGCGCGCACAGGGTTAAGGGCGGCGCGGCCGTGAGCGGAGCCGGGCCCCGCGTGCGCTGCGGCCCGCCCTGCCCGCGCCGTGCCCGCCGCTCGGCTCCGGGGAGCGCAGCGGCGCGCGAGGCGGGCGGCGGAGCGCGCGGCCGGCGTGCGGGAGCTCCCCGCGACGCAGCCAGGGCTGCGGCCGGAGCTGCGGGATCGGAGCCCAGCGGCGAGCGCAGCCGCCTCCCCACGCGCCTGGAGCCCCGAGCGCGGCGGGATGCTGGCAGGGGCGCGCCCGGGGCGCTGAGAGCCAGCCTGGCGAGTGGCGAGCCCCGTGTTCATCCCGCTCTGCTGGGAAGCTCAGGCCGCCGCTAGCTTCGCGGATGTGACGCCCTTGCCCCGGGAAAGATGGGGGTCTTTCTGGCATCTGTGGGCTTCGCCGTCCTCTCCGCGCTCTGCGTGCAGCAGGGGCTTGCGGCTCAGGGTAAGTCCGCCCCTCGCGCCGGGGTCCTGGTGGGGCACACGGGCCCGGGGCGTACGTGTCGCGCTCCTGTGGGCGTTTTTCTCCCGAGTTCATTGAAAACTGGGCTGCCGAGAAGAAGAAGGCGCAGCGCCCTGGCGGGCTTTTGTGCAGCTTGCCTGTGCCGCTGTCCCTGTGCGTGCACCAGGAGCCCCAGCTTGCACACAGCCATCGCGGGGCACATTCCGCGGGCAGTGCTCCTGGCTGCGCGCACGGCGGGCGCTGTCCCTCCCGGAGTCCCGCTTCCCTGTGTGCTCTCTGGAACCCCACAGAACGGGAGCCACTTGTCGTGGACTTGGCCACCTGCAGCGGCTGCGGGCTCTGCTGCGGGAACCGCCACAACCAAGCACAAGCTGAGAGGCCTTGCCCTCTTTTGGTGGGGCCAGAGAAGTAGCTCTAGCCCCGGACTCCCGCCTGCGGGGAGCAGAACGCAGCTGCGTTCCACCGGACCGCACCTGGGGATTCCCTACGAGTAGGGCAGGGTGCAGGAAGGTGTCCACTCTGGGAAAGTCAGGGAGCAGGACACCGGATACAGCCTTCCTGCTGTCCTCAAGCATGCGCCGTCTCCGTGCACGTCCCTCGGGCCCAGAGCGCCCCGCAGCCCAGAGAGGTAACCCTTGCCAAGTGCCCTCTTGATCGCATCCAGACCGACCCCAGCAGGGGATGAGGTTCTAAGAGGGTACAGAGGCCCAGGAGGGCAGGGATTGGTCCCGTAAAGGCCGGAGGACGCCTTGTGGTGCCTGGAGATCACTCGGGGCCCAGGGAAAGCTTGGGTGTGTGGGTACTGCATCCCAGGATCTCGGGCTTCATGGCGCCACCTCCAAGGTTAGTTTCAGGAGAGGGACACCGCTTAGAGAGGCGGGGAGTGCCCGGGGCCCAGCTGGGATCTCTGAGCACACTGCGCTCTTCTAGGAAGCGTCCAGAATGTGTGTTCCCAGGTAGTGTGTCTGCTCTGCGCAGAAGCATCTAGCTGAGAAATTCGGGGCACCAGGTCTCCTGCACCTGCCACAGGAGGTCTAGACTGCAGCGACCAGGACTGAAGTCCGAGATGTGCTATGATCTGGCCCAAGGCAGCCTGGCCGAGAGCCAGTGGTCGCCACATGAGCTGTGTGATCGACAGCAACTGGGCTCAGGCCTGGTTCCGGAAATCTGGAAGCAGGCAGGGGGAGGAGAAGGGGGCAGGCAGGGGTGCTGTGGCCTCTGGGGCTGGTGTCTTTTTTTAAGTCCCAGGAGGACATGGTGCGCGCTCCAAGGAAGAGTCTGGCACCAGAGACGCGGGCGCGGCCAAAGCGTGCGTCTCTGTTTTGCAGCGAAATTTACCGAGTTTCCGCGGAACGTAACGGCAAGCGAAGGGCAGAACGTGGAGATGTCGTGCGCCTTCCAGAGCGGCTCCGCCTCGCTCTACCTGGAAATCCAGTGGTGGTTCCTGAGGGGCCCCGGCGGCCTGGATCCCGGCGCCGAGGGGGCCGGCGCTCAGGTAGCGGCTGCGCCACTGTCCCCCACCCCCGACCGAGCCATTGTCCGCTCCTTCCCGCCACCACCCAGCCGAAACTAGAGCGCAGGAGGCGGCATGTTCCTCCCCCTGCCCACAGGCGCGCGGGGTTCTGCTGGGGCACAGTGTCCTGGGACGATCACGGGGTGAGGGGTGTAGGGCCGAGAAGGAAGCAGCGTGTGCGCTGTGCGGGAACGCAGACGTCCTCCCGCTATTCCAGCACTCAGTGTCCAGGCCAGGTGGCTTGGCGACCGGGGGTTTGGGAGGCGCGCCTGATGGAAGCAGAGGGGCGCACAGCTTGGGGACGCGGGGACTGGGAGGGGTGCAGGGACAGCAGCGTCCGGCGCCCCTGAGTGGCTGGTGCTTGCCTCACAGGTGGAACTCCTACCGGACCAAGACCCGGACAGCGAAGGCACCAAGATCAGCGTGAGTGCCGGCGGCCAAGGGTGAGGGGGGGTGGGTTGTGGGGTCGTGTTCTCAAGGGCGCATGAACGTGAAAGCTTAGTCAGGTTCCAGTCAGGGAGACACAGGCACCGCCACGAGGGCGCTGCTCAGGGTCTCTGCAGCCTTGGGCAGCGGCACCTCCCGCGCATCTAGGGAGGAGGGTCGCCACCAAAGCGGAGCATCCTGGAGCGCCAGGCCCCAGGCTCACAAGCCCCATGCGCAGAGGCAGAGATGACCGGAAACTCGAATGAGTGACTCCGAACCGATGACTCCGCCTCAGGGAAACTCGCCTGCATGGGAAGGGTGAAGTCAGCCGGCAGGGCTTGCCTTGCCACCTGGCATTAGACTGCTGGGCCCTCACCCAGCCCTGTGCCCGAAGGCCTACAGTAGCCTTGACCTGCACTGTTCATGCCCTGGCTGATGGCATTTGTCTACACTGCAGTGGGTAGAATCCCTTCCTAGGTAAACTGAGGCAGGAGGTCCAGGCCACAGCGTGATCTGCAATCAGTTTAGTCACCTGAAAAATGGGGTGACAAAGCTGAGTTCCTAGGAAACTTCACCCAGAGCGTAGTGGAAACGCTGAACTTGCATGCTGCAGAGGGTCTCTGTGCGTGCATTCTTGCATCTGTGCAGTCACATGCCTGAGGGTCCACATGGAAGCTTTGCCATAGATGCACCTGCATAACAAGCAGCTGAGCAGTTCTCGGGATTTTTCTTGTAATTACTTACGACCACTTGAAAGTCCGGGGAGCCTTAGCACAACAAGTAGCTTTCCGCCCTCACGACTTCCAGTTCCTTTGTCCCGCATGTGTGATGATGCTGTGGTTCTGTCAGTGAGACAGCAGAGAATGCGTGTCGTAACTGGCTGGAGCGATGAAGATGCATTTACACATAGTACTGCAAAGACTGGAGCACGGAGTCAAGTTCATTTTGGTATGGCAAGTTATGGCATCTGCATACCTCTTCACATTTAGCTTTTTACAGTAGGTGTGTCCATGAACTTGTTGAAGATGCCTCACTGTGTATTAGATAGTTATGCACAGCATCTAATGCTGGGGACATGGTCTCGCTCTTCATCTGTGGCAATAATGATTTTGAAAAACTAACAGAGCCAAAGGGTTGAAAATGAGACCAGTGTTTACTTGGTGCCTTAGCATGAAGTCCCCGTATCAGTAGGGTTGGCCAGGGGGCACAGTTTGAGCAGAAGCCTGTTGCACATCCCAGGGCCTTAGGTGCTGGCGCCGAGGCACCATGTGAGCCCCACAGGCCAGCAGGCCCGTGGATGCCCACAGGGTCTTCCAGGTTATTGTGTACCCACCTGAATCTATCAGAAATGGTCAGGCCCACACTGGCAGACAGAGCTGATGCTGCCAGAACATGGGACAGGGAGACCATGTGGCTAATGGCCCTGGCCCTGGTTGTGTGGCACATTGATCAGGAGGCCCCTACGAGCCAATTCTGGGTAGCCCTTCAGACCTGATGCTAAGGCAGTGAGGAGCCCCTCTGGCTTTACGGATAAAAAGGAGAGCTGTGTCAGTTGATGGAGCCCTTTACTTTCTCACCTACAATTTCCAGACAGTGAAAGTCCAAGGCAATGACATCTCCCACAAGCTTCAGATCTCCAAAGTGAGGAAAAAGGATGAGGGCTTGTACGAGTGCAGAGTCACAGACGCCAGCTACGGTGAGCTCCAGGAGCACAAAGCCCAGGCCTACCTCAAGGTCAACACCAACAGCCATGCACGGCGGATGCAGGCCTTCGAGGCCTCGCCCATGTGGCTGCAGGACGCCAAGCCCCGCAAGAACGCCTCGGCAGCCGCCCCCAGTAGTGTGCACAGCTCGGCCAGCCAGCAGACACACGCCACCTCCAGCCCTCATGCGGTCGCCAGGATCCCCAAGCAAAGTCCACAATCAGGTATGGAAGCCCGCTTTGAGCCTTCTGGTGTCTCCCGCACTGCCCCGCTGCAGGGTGGCCACCTGGAGAGTGGCAGGAGGCCACAGGAGACCTGGGCCGACAAGGGAGCAGGGGTGAGACCAAGCACCCTTGAGAGCCTGACACAGGCAGGGCCTGCAGTGGGAGGTTGCCCATTCATCCCAGCAGGGCTTCAAATCCAAAGGACCTGCGAGCTGGCCTCTTTTTCCCCTGTATGTACACGTTATAGGAAAAATAAATCATGTAATGTCGTTACATTAGAAATGCACATTCGTTTCCCATACAGATTTATGTATCAATAATGACCCAAATTACAAAGCTCCCACTTAATCAAAATGTAAATGAAGGAGGCACAGCATCTCCTCCGCCTTTGCAGGGCACACAGTGGGTTGAGTGGGTCTGTGCTCTGAGCGTCAGCTGCCCGTGTTTAGAGAGATGATGCTGGTGGAGGGAGGGGGCAGGGCGAATGGCAGTGAACGTGTGGCAGCGATAAGGCAGCTCGGTGATGCGCCTCCAGTGCCGGCCTGGCACCTGAGTCCCTCATCTCCTCAGCTGTGCAAGTTAAAGCTGTTCCGAATGCATTAGTGCACGCTCTCCCTCAGCCAGTGGCACCTCACATGGTTTAACCTTGAGGTGGGAGGAGGCCTCTTGCAGGGAGAGCCACTTAGGCTGTGTCCAGCCCCCAACACTGGACAGAATGTCCCAGGACACAGGGTCACAGAGTTTCTTGGTGCACCTTCTCGCTGCCTTTCCTCTAATGTAGCTACGCTAGTACCAGCACTGGCACTGGAATGACACGCAGCCTGAGTTAAAGGCTGCTCACATCATCGGGAATTTCTGGGCTGCATTTACATCAGACATCCTTCAGGTCAGGGGTGCACGACTGTCCGATCTGCCCTCTGTTAGTGAGAACCGGCTTCAGGCTGCACACACTGAGTCCTTGCTGGCCTTGAGGCAGCGGTGCCACTAGCGGAGGCATTGTGTGTCAGGGGTGTGGCTGTCACAGAAAGGGAGCTTGACTAGGACTCAGCCACAGAGGGGCAGCTGCCGGTGTAGCCCAGCTGTGCGTCTCTGCACCCCTGGGGTGGCTGTGTCTAATTTTTGTCTGTATCGGTTCTTTGTTTTTTTCCCCAAGTCAAAGTGCAGTGGCCGTGGTTTTTGCTATGTACAAATGTCCGCACGTGTCAGAGCTGAGTCACCGTGCTGTCTCATGTGACAGACACGAGGTGTTGGGAGGCCATCCTACCCGCCACCCTGCAGGTTAGGACAGGAAGAAGCAGCATAGCCAGGCGTGCGCCACGTGGACATGACATGTGGCCTACATGGAGCATCCCAGGCCACTGCCAGCATCACACAGGCAGACAAGGCAGCCTAAGCATGGAGCGCAATGCTCTGTTTCTAAAATATTACCTTAGCTCTTAGATTAAGTCACAAGCTCTAAGCACTGTGGCCAGTGCCCTCTGGCAGCCAGCAGGTGCTCCTCCCTCTGCACCCAGCCCCTTCTGCCTGGGGGACCCTCCACAGTTGAGGGGGTCAGAGAGAGGTAGCACTCACTAGGAGGTTTTCTCCCTGAAAGTGCTGCTCACAGCAAAGCTTAATCTGAGGTTCTCAAAGTGCCTAACTTGCATTTTTTTTCTTACCAGTGAGAACTGGAAAATATTCTATATGTTTGCATCAATATTTTCTAACTTGTTTCAGAATTCGGGGCACCCCGCCACCCCCAGAGTCTGTGTGTCAGTTTCTGGGCTTGCAGCGCTGTGGTGCAGCACACAGGCCTGGGTGGGTGCCACATGCTCATTTCCTGGTCTCTGGTGGCATTAGTTTTCTGACTGCGTTCAGATGAATGTCCCAGTGCCATGCTTCATGGAGTCACTCACTCCTTTCTTCTGTCACGTTTGGGAACCAGTGCACCAGGCTCTCACACACGACCCACTTCCTGTGCTCAGGGAGTTTGTATTTTCCCTTGTGAGATCACAGACCATTTGCAACTGCCATGTGTAGCCTATGTTCCTGTTATGGGCAGTTATGGGCAGGATGGGGTGGTGCCAGAGGTAAAATCTGGCTTTTGCAGCCAGGAGCAACCCCAGCAGTCTCCTTCCCCCTGATGCAAAGGGGCGAGGCCCAGCAGGGCCAGCCTGGGCCACAAAACTGCTCCTGTTTGCATCCTGGCGCCCGCCCTCGCCAACTGGCGCCTCACACTGAACCACTCGACTCTCAACTCTGTTTTCCTGTCAAAGAATTCAGTGTCTCTGAAGAAAAAGTAGTAGCTGAAAATCTGAATGAGATCTCCAAATTGTGCAGCTAATGTGCCAAGCTTCCTTGCAGCTGAAACTCACAGGGACAGGGCAGAAGGAAGGGATGGACCCTGAGCGCAGCCAGTGTCAGCGAGGGCATCACAGTGCTTCTCTGGAAACCAGCCTGGGATGGACACCCGTGTTTGAAACTGCTCTGCAAATTCTGCCATTAATTAGGAATTCTTACCTCCTGAAACGATGCGTGTTCTACCTCCATTCTGTGGTAAAACCTTAGAACAAGCAAAGTGGGAAAGAAAGCAGGCTGCTTGCCGTCCATCCTCCTCTTCCTCCTGGACTGAACCCCCCCCCCCCGGGTCCCCATGCAGACGAGCTGTGCCCAACCCCCCTGCCTTCTGCTGACCCGTCCTTCTGCTCAGACAAGGAAACTGGCTCCATGCTGAGCTCCCAGCTCTCCTGGCGAGGTGGACACCCATGGATGTCCACTGCCCTCTGCCAGGGCCAGTCCTCCCTGAGGCCTCTCCTTGCTAGGCCCACCACAGATGCTGTCTGATGGACACAGGCCTGTGGGTGTCCTCCAGCACTGGCCGCTCCTTCCTGGGCGCCAGCTGTGTCTGCTCTGCTGGCTTCCTGTCCCGTCTCAGGGTTTCCCCCCTCAGCTCCTGTCAGGGATGTCCTTCCTGGGCCTGTGGGTGTCCAGCTGTGTCTGCTCTGCTGGCTTTCTGTCCCGTCTCAGGGCTTCCCTCCTCAGCTCCTGCAGGGATGGCCTTCCTGGGCCTGTGGGTGTCCAGCTGTGTCTGCTCTGCTGGCTTTCTGTCCCGTCTCAGGGCTTCCCCCCTCAGCTCCTGCAGGGATGGCCTTCCTGGGCCTGTGGGTGTCCAGCTGTGTCTGCTCTGCTGGCTTCCTGTCCCGTCTCAGGGCATCCCCCCTCAGCTCCTGCAGGGATGGCCTTCTCCCCACCTTAGCCTCCTGGCCTTCTCTGTTTCCAGGATTTACCTGGCAGCTTTCCCTTAGAAAACCTCCCATCCACATCTCCACTTCTGACTTCTCTGGAGTCCCAGATGCAGCTCACACACCTTGTGGCAGATTACAGGCAGCTGTCAGCTGCTGATGCTTCACTGGTTAGGAAGGTAAGAGCCAAGCTAACCTTGACCACTGAGGCCGACAGACCCAGAGAGGCAAGTGTGCCGATTCAAGGCAGCAAAGCCACTGTGAGATGCTCCCTGAGGAAGCCCAGTCGAAGCACCACTCCTGCAGGTGAGGAAGACTCCTGGGGGGCCTGCTAGCCCAGGTCCGGCCCCTGACACAGGCGTCTGAGCAGTCCTCCTCAGGTCCAGGGGTGGGTCCAGAGGTCTCAGAGCAGGGACACTTTTTTGTCTTGGTATCTCAAGGCAAATCGTACAGTGTTCTTCCCCCGTGTTCCCAGACTCCATCAGCATTGCCCCAACAAAACTTCTGAGTTAGCATAAAGTCCTTAGGTTCCTTATCTCCTGAAAACTTTGCAGCCCCAGCCACTCATGCTCCTGTCGGTACAGCCACTCATGTGTCCTGCCGTGTCCTGCAGCATCCCGTGTCCGTTCTTACCTAAAGAATCCTCTGGTTGTTCCCAAGGACTACCGCCGCTGATGTGGTAACATCCCATGTCAGTTTCCTCCGACACTCCTTCCCTGTACCGTTTCCAGGTGCTCCCACGAATTCTGTGTGCTCCTCCTGGCCAAGCTTCGCCTCAGAAGCACAGCCCTTGGCAAAGCTCTTCCCTGTTATCTGAGTCAGCCGTGGCTGTGTTTGCCCATGTGGCCCCTTCACAGCCTTCTGGTGCCTCTCGCTGTGGTAGCCACTGCCTTCCCACACCCACCACCCGCAGTCCCACCACTGGGTCTTCTAAATGTCCAGAATGAGTGGAGCCCTTGTTTGGGGTAACAGAAAAACAGGCAGCATGCCCTCCTATGTCCCTACCCTTATCACATCTTTATCAGCAGATAACTTGCCCCTGTTCCAACGTTAACCAAAACATCCAACAGTATTTCCCCAAGTGTAAGGGCCCCTGCTCACCCGCACTTCAAGGCTTGTGCAACACGATCTGAGTGTGTGTCTGAGTGGGGCTGCAGGTGGGTGTGTTCACAGCGTGTTACAGAATACACAGCTTTAACGCTTCTTGAGTGAGAGCATTGCTTGCCTTTGACTGTGAGATGAGTCGCTGGGCGGGCTGTGAGCACCTGCAGCACTGCAGATCCTGCTTAGAGACTCTCTTGGCCTACCGTTTCCCAGTGTTGATGGACTCCTGTAACTTTTGGTACTACATTATTTTTGTTATGAGAAAAAATAATAAACTTGAAATGTCCAAATTTCAAAATGACAGGCAGGCATCTCTTGAGTGAGAAAGTAGCAAATGTGTAAAATATATCCAGCAACAAAAGAAATCCAAGGTCCTATAGTTATAGATTGTGACAAGATTCAAATTTTAAAATGTATATACGCATGTGTTCACACGTTCACCAGGCTGCTGGCGTCTGAAGGCCCTGGTGAGGTGGGCACTGGGGGAAGGCATTGCGTCGCTGCATGTGAGGTCATGGCCCCCCAACAGAAAAGCAGTTTCTGGGTGCCCCCCAAGGTGCCAACATTACATTTTCATCAGGCTATGAGGCTGATTGGTGAGGGCCATGGCAGTTCCCATTTGTGGAGTCCCAACAATTAGGATGGCAGCTCTGAGAGTGACAAGTCTGGCAGAGG